GAAGAGAGAGAGAGAGAGAGAGAGAGAGAGAGAGAGAGAGAGAGGCAAGAGGCCAGCGTGGACTGGAAGGGTCTGGAAATGGGCTCCGGTTCTTGATTAGAGCCGGCCGCTTAGTGACACTGCAAACAGCAGGGGACCGGAGGGACGGAACCAGGGCCGTGTTTGAAATCACGAGCAATCATAATCCAAAGCAGCATGCATTCCAAGCACGGATTTTTTTTTTTAAATATCATCTCTGTGGTCTCAAGTGGAAAGATGTATTCATCATAGATGTCTGCTCAGCCCCACCCACAGCTATGAATCATCGGTGTCTTCTACTGAGGCGACCATTATCCTCTAGTACATGACAGATACAGAGGAGGGGTAAAATGAGGCTTGTCGGATGAGACCCAGACCCCCATTCTAGTACCACCTGATGAATTTCACCGGGGAACCAGGCTTGATTTTAACCCATTAAAGGTATAAAGCAAATCGTTATCACAGACGCCCCCGGTGATGGACACCGAACAGCTGTGGGGGCTAATGTCTAAGCAGACCTACACTGGATGTTCTCGCCGTCATTCTATGCCTCGCTACTGTTACAGGTGCTGTTGGAATTGGCACTGTTGCTGCTACATGTAGACGGGACTGAAGTGACAGCCATCATTAGCCATTTGATGGCTTTCCCAACTCCATTTAGGTCTCTCTCTCTCTTCCCCTTCCTCTTCCCCTCCCCCTCCCCATGGTATATGTACGTGTTTGTAGGGTACATGGACATGTGTGGGGAGCTCAGAGGTAGACATTGAATGTCTTCCGCAATTACTCCCCCCTCCCGTTACTTTTTGAGACAAGGTGTCTCTGAATCTGGAACTCACCGGTTTGGCTAGACGGACAGGCCAGTGAGCTCCAGGAAGCCTCCTGTGTCTGCCGCCCCACCACTGGGGTTAGGGATGCATGCCATCATGCCTGACTTTAACAGGGTACTGGGCATCCGATCCCAGGTCCTGATGCTCACACAGCAGGCATCTTACCAGCTGAGCTACCTTCCTAACCCCCTTTCCTCCTCTGATCACCATGTAGCCCTGGTTAGCCTCAAACTCGTGGAGTCCTCCACTGCAGCCTCCCAGGTGTTAGGATTATAGGCAGGAGCTGCCGCCATGTGGTTTCTTTTAAAGCTTATTGCCAGAAAATTTTAACTGTTAGCAAATTTGTCTCAATAAGTAATGTGTAATATAAGTAACAATAAGGATGTCAAAAACCTCCCATAGCCGTCCTTTCCCTGGGACCAGGGCATGTCAGAAGACAGAACTCACAGGTAGCATCTGTTTCTTAAGAATGTTCTGAAAAGTGAAAAAACAAAAACAAAACTTCCAAACAATGCAGACAGAAACCACATGGCTTCGGTTTGAAAATATTCTTTCTGTTCCCAAGCCGCTCGGGGTCCTTGGGCATCTGCAGGATCCTGACGCCTTGACACCAACTTCCATGGAGTTGTTGCCATCAGCCTTCTGTAGGAGCAGCGTCCGTGGGTGGAAGGAACATGCCAGATCTCAGAGAACTATTCAATGCCTGTTGACTCAGGCAGCAGGACCAGCTGTGAGTTGGAACGTATTTTTACGTAGCTACAGTGGAAAGGAACAGGGCTGTTGATGTTAGTGCTGAGGTGGGGACAGAACCTGCTGGGATATTTGTGGATGATTTGGTTTGAGGGGAGGCGGACAGGAAGATCGGTTGTCTTGGGAGGTATAGCTGAAGACTCTAAACTCAGAATTTAACTCTGGAGGTACTGGCACACGCGCCTGTGATCCCAGCACTTGGGAGGTGGAGGAAGGAGGGCCAGGAGTTCAAGGCCAGCCTGCCTAGGTGAGGCACAGTCACAAACAAACAAAACCGTTTATTTGGGCAAGTCACCTAAAGATGGAATGATAAACCTACCAGGTAGTGCTTTCAAGATTAGACCCCAACAAATGTTTATTTCTTTCATATTTGTGTATCTCCACCTTAGGAATGTTTTAAAAAAAAAAATCCTGTCAGCCAGCTGCCCCTGGAAAGAAGCCAAGTAGGATAAACTTCCTGTTCAGGGGGAGGGAGCAGGGGCTGTGACCTCTGCCGCCCCTCTCCACCTCCCGGCTCTCCTTCCTGCCTTTGGAGGAAGCCTGTGTGTTCTCTCAGACCTACCTTGGCATTCCTTGATGTCTTAGAGAAGCAGATGACCCTGGCTGAGCGAGACAGTCAGCAGAACAGCAGCTCTTGATGCTGCCTTTGGAAATTTCCATTCTTTGCTTGCGGCTCTGAAAAAAAAAAAAAAATCTAAAGAGCCCAGTAGCTGGGAAATTTCCACAATGGAAAATTTTAACATATTCTTTAGCTCTAAACTATGCAGGTTTATAGACATTATTTTTCCCCCTTCTGGTGATTTCCTTCTTTGATGACAATTTATGAACATGGTACCACTAGAGCTGTGGGAACAGGAGGGCACGATGACCCAGGGGGTGGGCGTAGCTCGCTTAACAGGAGGCCGTGCTGTATAAATGTGTGACCACTCAGCACACAGGAGCACAGAGATCACCAAGAGGCATACTGGGTGGGAACTCATCCAGAGCAGAGCTAGCCTGCCCAGGAGCACTGCAGGGAGATCTATGTTAGAACCTTGAAGTGCAAAGTGCACCATACAACTTGGGAACCCGACACGGTGAGTCACCTTGCCGGCCATAGCAACCTCCAGCAGATAGATCCTGAACTTTGATCTGAGCTGTAGGCTCTGATGCAGTAGGCTGATGGTGGGACCTGGCCTGCACTGCCAACTGAAGATGCTCTCCAGGTGATGCTGATGCTGCCCTTCTGAGGCCCACAGTGTGCTGTATAGCGAGACCTTCGTCAGCATGCAGCCGGTGCCCTGGTGGCTGAACAGTGCCAGAGGGTGGCTGGAGGTGAGCTCAGATTACACAGCGGAGGTCTCAGAACAGAACTGCAAAGTCCTCTGGAGAGATGTTTCACCTCAGTCTGGATCGAGGGGCTCTATTAGAATGTAGGAGTGCGCGGAGTTGCCAGAAACCTTGGCTTGGAGAATTCTAGAAGTCAGGACCTTTTCAGAGAAACCCATGTTCAGCTGGTGATGATTCCTAGGCTGGGCCCGTTTCCTGCATGGTGCTGCAGTTGAGGAGTGTGGGTGAATGGCCGATGAGCCAGTCCCCAACTCCTAGGGAAGACCCTTACCCAGCGTCCTGTTAGGAGAGGCTTCCAGAGAGGCCTTGCTGCCGCTCTTGTTCAGTGCTACTGAAATAAAGTTCAAAGGGAATTGGAGATTTTCTTAGCAGCTATCTCACCTTTGAGGGGGGAGAGGGAGAGGGACACCATCAATCTAGGGTGCTCCCGCCTCATGATCTCGAGGTCTTCTCT